GTGAGTCATGGCCTGTTTGTGAGCGGGTGGGGGACGGAAGAACTGCGGCTCTCTGTGCCGGAGGGAGAGGGCGGACGGTGGATCGGTGAAGTTCCGGATGGCTCGGTGAATGGGCATTGATGTGACCGGGTTAGCGGTTGTTGATGTGTGTTTGGGACAGGGGACGGTAAGTCGTGACTGTACGCCCTCTTAACGGACGTCCAAGTCAACATGGCGGGTGATAATATCCGCACTAGAGTACTAAGCCTCGAGAAATGCACTCGCTCGTTTTTTATTGATCATGATGACGACCTCAGTGTCATCCCAATTAAATCTATGGTCACACTCAACTGTGTGTGAAAAGAGCTGGGACAGGGGGTCCCAGCGACGGACAATGTAATTTACATTCTTTAAAACGGGTGTCCAGTAGTCGATCTTTGTGATCAACACACACGCAAGAACAATTTCCACACGGTATACGATAAACTACATTTGAGGGTTTCTCCTTTGGGATGGAATCCTTTAAAGGAGAAAGATGTGTACATAATAAGGATGCTGGTTTGGATGCGATGTGGATATCGAAGGGACTCAAATTATCTTAACCTGGAAAGGTCCCTGCATCCAAGGCAGGGAGAAGAATTTCCGTGTCCACAATACTTCGACAATGGGGAGTTAAGAATGCTGCAAATAAGCAAGGCAAGACGAGGCAACTTACTTGAATGAGACTTGACTGCCTCGTATTACCCGTGGGCAGGGCATGCAGTGGAGTGCTCTGGAAGCCAAGGTCGAAGAAGGACGCTCTAGCAAAAGCGAAGCCACGAACGCCATTCTTTTGGTAGGTCATCAAGTGCTCATCATCGCCAAGAAGGACATCTTCAGAGGGCAGGCAGGCCGCATCAATGTACAGACTGAGGCATTTGCTCTTGTCAGCCACATTGTCTGTTAAAATAAGCAACAGGCGAATTTTGATTTAGTAGTTATACTACTACTAGAATTGTTAGTAGCACTGCTGGGGGTAACAGTAGTAGCAGTAGTCGTAGTGAAATGATGACGGAAATGTAGAAGATCGTTCTGGGCATGCAAACTATGTGTCCCTATGTAAGTTAATATAAGAACAAGTTTACAACCCGGGGTGAAAATCATTGTTGCTATAGCAGAAGTAATAATAGTAGTACTAGAAGAGTAGCAGACGAAATGGTAGTAGTAGAAATTGTACCAGTAGTAACGGTGGTAGTAATAGTATTAATTGCAGAAATA